TCAAAATTCGCGTTCTTCCTTCATGCAAAATAGATTCCCTGCATCCCAACATCTCCAAAAGTTTTAATCATTCCAGTGTCAACTCTAAGTTTCAAAATCTCATCTAAATGTCATTAACTCAAAGTCTCCAAACTCATCATCTAAACCATCCAAATCAGTTGTGGATGAGAGTCTGAGAGTCAGGGTGTGAATCATCTTGGGGCAAAATTTGTCTCCATCTGTAAACCTGTGAAACCAGGCAACAAGTTATTTGCTTCTGACATAGAATGGTGGGACTGTCACAGGATAGACATTCCCATTCCAAAAGGGAGAAATTGGAAGGAAAAAAGGTTATGGGTCCAAGCAAGTTTGAAACCCATCAGAACAAATTTCATTAAATTTTAAGGCTTGAGAATAATCCTGTGTGTCTGGACGTTCTGTCCTCTGGGCTCAGCAGGGTGGGGGCTCCGGCCTCTTGGCCATGGGCAGCAGCCCTGCCCTCTGGATCTGAAGAGGGAACCTCTGGGCCTGCGGTGACAGTGGCAGCTTCCCTGGCCTCTGAAGTACTGTCAGAGTCATTGTTCCCTTTTCTAGAAGGATAATACCATTTTTGCAGCCAAAGAGCTCTATCAGCCCATTTCCTGCCTATTGTATCCCAGAAGTCTTGCAGCCTTCCTTCATTTTGTCCCATCTCTGTCCTCCTTCAGTGCAAGCTGTCAGTGTTTCTGCTGAGATGGTCGATTGGATTCACAAGCCACCACACCCTTAGTGTTCTCTCCAGCACATGCTGTCTCATTTTTTGCAATAAGGATAGGCTGAGAATTTTCCAAATCTTCAAGTTCTGGCCCCTTTTTGCTTAGCAATTCCTTCAATTTGTCTCTCTCCCTTGCATTTTACTATACTCGGCAAGAAGAATTCAGGCAGTGCCTTCAACATTTTGCTTAGAAATCTCCTCAGCTAAATATCTGAGTTCATCGCTTACGGGTTCTACTTTCTACCCAACAGAACACAATTCAGTCAAGTTCTCTGCCACTTTATAAAAAGGATCACCTTTCCTCCAGTTTCCAATAACATGGTCTTCATTTCTGTGTAAGACCTCACCAGGAGCACCTTTAACATTCATATTTCTAGCAACAGTCTGTTCATGACAATATATGTATTCTCTAGGGGGACAGAGGCTTTCTCTACCTCTCTTCCTTTTCTTTCTGAGCTCTCACCAGAATCTCTTTTTCTTTTTCTTTTTTTTCTTCTTTACTTTTTTCAATTATTTAATTAATTTTTTTGTTTATTGCAGGTAACATTGGTTTATAACTTTGTATAAATTTCAGGTATACATCATTATACTTCTATTTCTGCATGGATTACATCATATTCTCATGTTCACCACCCTAAAATTTATATGGAACAATGAAAGACCCTGAATAACTAAAGGAATCCTGAGAAAAAAGAACAAAGCTGGAGGTATCACACTCCCTGATTTCAGAATCTCTTTTAATGTCCATGTTTCCACTAACAATCTAGGCAATCTAGCCTTTTTCTATCTTGCATCTTCAAACTTTTCCAGACTCTATCCATTACCCAATTCCAAAGCCACTTCCACATTTTTAGGTATTTGTTACAACAGCCCCCCCACTTCCCTATCGCAAAATCTGTATTAGTCTCCTAGGACTGTGGTAACAAAGTACTTCTAATTGGGTGGCTTAAACAAGAGAAATTTATTGTGTCATAGAAGTCCAAGATCAAGGTGTTGGTGGTGTTGGTTCCTTTTGAGGGCTGTGAGGGAGAATTGTTCCAGGCCTCTCTCCTAGCTTTTGGTAGTTTGCTGGCACTCTTTGGCATTCCTTGGCTTGTAGATGCATCACCCTGATCTCTGCCTTCTCTTCACATGGCATCTTCCTGTGTTTCTTCACGTAGTCTTCCCTCCATACATATCTGTCTCCACATTTTCGCTTTTTTCTAAGGACACCAGTCTCATTGGATCAGGGCCCATCCTAATGACCTCATTTTAACTTATTACCTGTGTAAAGACCCTATTCCCAAATAAGGTTACATTCCTAGGTACTGGGGGTTGGGACTCCAACATATCTTCTTTGGGGGACACAATTCAACCCACAACACTCATTAATAAATTGCAAGCATATGCTTGTAGTAAGTCAAGATTTTCAAATACAGGTTATCATTATTTCCGGTTAAAACACAGACTTGGATTGGTATTCATTTATAACTATTCTCTCCATTCAGTTTGTATTTATTGAATTCCTACTATGTGCCAGACATTCTCTAACATTATGGGGTACTTGAACTTGAAGGGATGAAAAACAAGTTACATCTCTATTTTCACTAACCTCTAATTGAAAGCTAGCATTTCTTTCCAATATGAATGTTGGTAACAAACCATAGTAGTATTAGCAGGACCTGTAACTTTATTACGTAGATTTTTCATATCATGTATCATAAATCTTTTCATGTCACATTGCAGTTGTTGCAGATACTTCAGAATATGGTTTGTAATCTTCACTATCTTGAAATTATGAATAATTACAGTTTTCCCTAGATCTTGAGTACTCCAAAGAAAATAAGAAGACAGTGTGTTCTTAGATAGGCATATATATTACTATACCAAAATTTTAAAAGAATTTTGATAACTGTATTCAACATAATTGCTTTGTTTTGTAAGTCTGTGTATTTTATGCATTTAAAAATTCTATTCTGAGATGGGTCTATAGGATTTACCAGATTCCCAGAAGGTTTGTGGCACAAAAAAAGGTTCAGAGACCTTGTTCTAGATGCTAGAGATAAAGTAATGAACAACTCAGATAAGGTCCCTGCTCCCATGGAACTTACCTTGGGGATGGGCAAAGAGAGATGTGACAAACAATAAACAAGAAATCATCAGCAGAATTTCAAGTAGTCATTGGGCTGTAAAAAAATATATATATCTATATATCTATATTTATTTGGATGACAACAGGAGCCAGACATGGATGATCCAAGAGTAGAGAGTCCCTGGCAGAGAGAATAGCCAGCGTATGACTCAAAGGTGGGGCAAGCTTGGCGTGGTCATAAAATAACCAGAAGGCCAGTATAGCTGGAGTTAAGTGAGTGTCGGAGGGGAGGCAGGTCATTCTGAGTGAGGAGGAGAGTAGGAGGAAACAAGAGAAACCACATCACGTAGAGCATGTACTGTAGGGTAATAGGTTTCAATTACTCATCCATTACAGATTTTTAAAAATCTCTAAAAATACACAAATATACGTATTTTGTGGTAAAATACACATAACATAAAATTTATCATCTTAACCATTTTTAAGTGTACAGATCATTGGCATTAAGTACATTTACATCAGTGTGCTTCCATCACCACCACCCATCCACAGAACCCGTTTCATCTTGCAAGACTTCAACTTTGTACCCATTAAACAATAACTACCCATTCCCCATTCCTCCCGGCATTGGAGATTTTTGAGCAGGGCAGAAACAAGATGTGTTTTACATTTAAAAGATATGATGTTTTGCTCTGTGGAGAAAATGTTGCTAGACACGAATAGAAGCACTAAGAGGAAACTGGGTAGGAAAAACTGCAAATGAGAGATGAACCACGGTGTTAGCAGAGGATAGATTCGAAACGCATTTTGGCAGTAAATCAGACAGGATTTCATGATGATTGGAACAGGTATGGAGAAGGACATGGGTTCTTTCTCAGGCTTGTTAAGTCTGAGTTGCCTGTTAGACATCCAAGTGGAGATGCCAAGTAGACAGTTAGGTGTACAAGTCCAGAGCTCAAGACAGAGGCTAGTACATATAAATACATGATGTATATATTATGATATATTTGGAAGTTATGGGTAAGTGGATACTTTTAAAGATGTGGGATTGGCTGAGATAATCAAAGGAGATAATATAGATAATGAAGAGGAGCAGGAATAATCTCTGGGTACACTCATCTTTTAGAGGTCAAGCCAAGAAGATGACCCTATGAATGCTCTAGTCAGTCTCACAGAGCTGGGTGCTAAAGGAATCTGGATATGGGCTCAGAAAAGGAGGCAAAGCTACCAGTTCTAAATCCTGTCATACTTCTGGTTTAGCAGGTTGTACCGGGTCTGGCTATGAGAGAGGGGCTATCCCACCTCCTATATTATATCTGTACCTACAACATCTACCAGGGGGCTGGGATAGAGGGAGGCGTGGCAAGACCAAGGAGAAATTCTCGGTAATTTGAAAGACTCCAGCAATTTTTGTACTTAGACACACACTATCCTATAAACGTAATTAATATAATATGTATTTAATTAAGGAAAGAGGAGGTAAATATTTTGTTATAGAAAAACTTTGAGTATATTTTGTCTTCCCATAAATTGATGATGCTAAACATATATTTTAATTCTCTCTGTCATAAGATAGAATATTATATATATATCTCAATAACTATGTGATTAATTGATCATGCAAGGTTTAAGAAGTGGTCCAAAAACAAATTTAAAAAATGATATGATTTTCATGTATATATGATTTTTTTTGGTTCAAGTAAAAAAATATCCAAATGTTTTCACTTTGTCATCCCTAAGTATCTAATAGTATATCATCTCTAAAGGTATTTTTCGAGCAATTAATTTTACATCATGGAGCTTAATATAACTTGAGAAAGTCAGGCTGTTCTTTTCTTCAGTGGGTCATCAGATCCTGAACTCTTGGGCAGGATTCTGATTCATGAATTATGAAAATGTTGAATGTCATTTGTCTTGCACTGTGATGCTTTTGTGATGCTTTTGTTAACAGATGCACTGTTATCTCTGGTCTGTTAATTACTTGGAAATCTCTCATCCTGTTGTTCTAGAAAAGCGTTCTGGTTTCTGCACGTGTTCCCCTTTGCCATACTCAAACATTGGGAAATGGAAATAGGGAAGCAGTAGCTTCTTAGAAAAACTATAGATGAATGAAACAGGAAGTGCGAAATTAGCAAAATGACAGGAACTGTTGATCTTGTACATTACGGCTTTTGCTTATTTTTTCTCTTTTGCTAGGAGACCTGTTATGATGATGTGTGTAGTGCTCACCACACTTCCCAGCTTCAGCTTTTCTGTAGCAGTAACTGAGGTATGGAATTTTCATTTCCTCTGCGGCAAGATTTTAAAATTTCCTCTGTTATTGGAGTTTGATAGAGCCGTAAGCCAAACAAATACCTGAAAGTTTATTTTATCCAGTCTTCTTCCGTGTTGTAGTGTGTAGATGTAAAGTACTAAAATCATCGTCACCTCTGCGATGGTGGAGGAAGGTCTAGCAGCCAATTTGAAAAAAATCGCGTCTGTGTTGGTGTGTGAGAGACAGGAACGTCACTTCAAAATAATAAAAAAGCAAGGAATTTGAGAGTAGGTCCACATTTGTTTCTTCTACTCTGATGTTATGCATGAGTGTCCTCAGTTCTAAATGGAGGGGAGCAGTATCCAAGGGAGCAACCACTCCCACTCTAAGACCTTTAGTAATATGTCCATTGACAAATAATTTGCACATGATATCTATTTGAAAATAACTGGGAGTTTATGTTTCAAGTAAATGTAGCTTCAAAAGGACTCTAATGGATGGATGTCTGCAGCTCAGGAATATTACAGGCAGAACTTTCAGGCTGTAAGAACTTTATTATCCAAGAAGTTCAAAGAAGAATGCCCTACTCATCTTATTAATTTGCAAGGTGCTGTGAAAGATATAATTTTCACTTCCCCGAGTGCACAACTTCAATTACTTTGTGATATTTCATTTCTTTGTTGTGTAGATATTCATTAAGAGCATATTACATGCTAGGCACTGTGGACAGAGAGCAGACACTGGGGATAGAGTGCTCAGAAAATTTATGACCTTCAGTAATTATTTATTGACAGTAGAGAGAAAAATAAAGTCAATTAGAACAGGTGTGATAAGTGTTGTGAGAGAGGTGGATACCAGATAATATATAATATCATTAGAAATTACGTGATTGTTAGAATATCTCCTAGGAGCTACATTAGGACAATGTATGAATGCATAGAATAACCTTGGAAGGCCACACATGTGTACTTTGTATCAAGCTGCAATACATGAATATTTTACTCTAGATTTATCATTTTCTCCTCCTTCTCCCTAAACACCTTGCAAAGCACTTGGGAAGTTCCCAAGAGCCTTAAAAAATCAGTTTACAACCTTTAAGGAACACTGCTATCATAAAATGATGATATATCTGTAGTTTGATCACCCATTCTTTTCCATCACATCTCACCCTCTGTTGTGTATATTTATTTCCTTTTTTAATTTAATTTTTCACTAAATTGTAACACACAAACAGAAAAGTGCACAAAACATAAAATATACAATATGAATGGAATACTACCAAGCAAATCCCTGTGTAAACACTACTCAGGTCAAAAAAATGAAACTTTACCAGTACCTTAAAAGCTGCCCCCATGCTCCTTGCAGTGACTACATTTCCCTACTCCCCAAAGCTAACTTCTACCTTAACTTCCAGTACCACAGATTAGTTTGTCTGTTTTTTTGAAACTTTTGTAAAGGCAAATAGAATTATATATAGTATGTCTCTATCTATCTATCTAATCTGTGTCTGACTTCTTTTATTCAAAAGTGTGGTTCCTTCATGTTTTTGTGTACAACTGCAATCCATTCATTTTCATTCCTGTGGAGTATTTCATTTTACGAATATATCACAATTTATTTATCAGCTCTCCCTTTTATGGCCTTTTCAGTTGTTTCCATTTTTGACTATTGCAACTAATGCTGCTGTGAACATCCTGGAATGTGTCTCTCAAGGCACATGTCAAGCATTTCAGTTGGTTAAATATGCAGGAGTAGAATTGACAGGTCATAAGGTATTCAAATGTTCAGTTGTGAAAGAAAATGCCAGTTTTCCAAAGAGATGATACTGATTTAGATTTCCTCTAGCAGAGAATGAGCATTCCTGCTGCTCCACATCCTCACCAGCACTTCCATTGTAAGTCTTTTTATTTTAGCTATTCTGGTGGGTATAGTCTTGAATTTCATTGTAGTTTTAAATTGTATTTCCCCAATAATTAATGAGATGGAGCCTTCTTTCATCTTGATCATTTTTTCTATTGTGTTGCTTATTTTTGAAAAATTGATTTGGGAAGAGTTCTTTATATATTCAAATTTCAAGCCTTTTGTTGATTATATGTATTACAGATATCTTTGTGATTTAATACTCTTAATGGTTTCTTTTGATGAAGAGAAGTTCTTAATTTAAAAATAGTCCCATTTATCAATTTCTTTCCTTTATGGATAGTGCTTTCAGAAACTTGTTGGAGAAGATTTTGTAATATTGTGAATCTGAACCTCAAAGTCCTGAAGATATTCTCCTATATTATTCTTTGGAGCAGATATTGTTTTACCGTTCTCTTTTAGATTCACAATCCATCTGGAACTAAGTTTTGTGTGTGTTGTGCAGTAGGGAGTCAAATTTTATTTTTTTCCCCCAAATAATATCCAATGGATCAAGCACCATTTATTAAAAAGTCTGTTTTCCCATATTTCTCTGCAGTGCTATCTTTTTTATAAATCAGGTGTTCATGGTCTGTTTCTAAGTTCTGTTCTATTCTATTGTCTACTTTTCTATTCCTGTGCCAACACCACACCATCTTAATTCTTGTAGCCTTATAATAGCTTTTTACATCCAGAAGAGTATATCTTCATATTTTTCATATACATTTTAGAATCAGCTTGTCATTTTCCATGAAAACTTGGAATTTTGAGTTTGCAATAATAATAATGGTATCATTTTTTAAAATCTCATTTTCTCTTATTGGTATGTAGAAATAATGTATCAGATTTTCTTCATATGCAATCATATAGTCTATAAATAATGATATTTTGTTTTTCTTTCTTTCTAATACATATACTGTTTATTTCTTTTTCTTGCCTTATTACACTGGCTAGGACCTCTAGTACAATGTTGAATAGAAATGGTCATGGTGGCACCTTTGTCTTGTTCCTGATCTCAGAGGGAAAACTCTCAACATATCACCATTAACATGATGCTTGCCATAGGTTTTTCTGTAGATACCTTATCAGTTGAAGGAGGTACTTGAAAGCCTAGCTGGGTTTACCCAGGCTCTCCCTTCTTGGAAGACCCTAAACTCCAATATTTGTCCCCCTAGCTCTTTGAGCTGGGACTCTCAGAGGCTCTGCTCAGCAGCAGGATTGGAAGGAATTCCCCATTCCACCATTCCAAGAGCATCCTGTCATACTTTTACACACATTTACCAAGCTCTATCTTTAGGTGAAAGCTCTTCCATTGATGTGAATCTTTATTATATCTTTAGAAATAGTTCAAAACCTTGTGGGGAAGAACACCTGAGAAACTGAAAACCAAGCTTCTAGTCTTTTAGTAAATGTATTGATAATTAATTTAGTGCCACTTTCACACTATTAGAAGAATTTCGAACAAAGAAAAGACAAAAATTTAATGCTTCTGAATGACTTTCTGAAAACAGGTTCAAAAGAATATTAATGGTTCCGCTGATGTCTTACCTGATACTTTACCTGACCTGGCAGTCTCTCTGGTTCTGACTTCCTTGTTCCTGGTTGATATTATTGAAAAACTGAGGATATATCCTCTTAGAGGAAGGCAAAAGAGTAAGTATTCTTTTAAATATAGATATTTTTAAAAGTTTGACATATCGTTCACCTTTCTGCCACTCTATCTGTTGACATGTTTAATGATAGTTTTTCTTAGAGCTAACATTAGAGATAGAAGGCCACAAATGAAGATACCTAAATATAATTATTTTTAAACCTACTTTGATATCTAGACAGTTGTTCTTATTTCTTATTTGCATTTTGATAGTATGATAAATGAATGAAGGTACCAAATATTTAATACCAAAAACTTTAATGTTTACTCTAGCAAGAAAATTATTTAAGTAAATTATTATAGATTTGTATCTTTAGTCTCTTAAAACCTTAAGTTTAGATAAATAAATAAAGAGTTTAGTTTGGATACCTTTGATACAGGAATTAATATGACTACTGCTGTTATGTTCTAGAGAATTATGTGTTTTTAATTGTGAATTGTCAAAAAGCTAACAATCATGCTAATAAAACCAAGATACACCACATTCCTTCAGGTGAATCAATCAAAACTAAATATAGGCTGGCCTTAAAAAAAAAAGCATTTTGTTAACTGAATATTTTGTTTGTTCAGTCATCAGTTCCCTCAACTTTCGTTTCATTTCATGTGATGGTATCTGTGTTTAATTTACAATATTTGCATGCTATAGTTATTGTATGTATGGCTAAGATTTTGTGTTTAAGATGAGTAGGTTTTGTCTAATCACTTCCTAATGGAGTGGATGGGATGTATTGAGTGAGTCGTAGGAGGATGCTTTGGAGTAATAGGGATGACTCCTAGAGCCAGGAAGGAAAGCACCAGAGAAGCATTTATGGATCATGAGCTGCCACCCTTCCAGTCACCATTGCTCCTCAGATTGAAAAGCAAAACTGAGTGGGAGGCCACCAGTTACTCTGAGATTCTGAGCTTCATATTTTGCACTTTGTCCTTGGGTGGGAGATGATGAACTGTTATTTTTAGCATAACACAGATGACAAGGTAGATAAGATGGCAGCCAATGACCATCCATTGAGGAAAAGACACTCCCAAGTTAATTACCTCTGCCCTCCAGAGCCGAGTGTATTTGTCTTTAACTGAGGAGATTTGGGGATCGTTAGACCCTGTGCTACTTCTCTAGACACTTTAGTGACGCAAACCTACTTTGAAATTGGACTGTTTTTAATGAGTCTGTATTTTCCATGTTAATGTGAACTTTCTGTCCAAGTTTTTAGTGAAAGCTCTCTCTCTCTTTTTTTTTTTTGTGAGGAAGATTGGCCCTGAGCTAACATCTGTTGCCAATCTTCCTCTTTTTACTGAGGAAGATTAGCCCTGAGCTAACATCTGTGCCAATCTTCCTCTTTATTTTGTATATGGGATGCATATGAGCCGTGTGTAGGTCCACACCCGGAATCTGAACTTGCGAACCCCGGGCCACAGAAATGGAGTGCGCAAACTTAACCACTACGCCACCGGGCCAGCCCGAAAACTCTCTTTTTTAAGAAATGCACACATATATTTTTGGGAATAAGTTATTGGCATTTTATATTTTGAGTGATTAGTTGGATTTTTAAAGAGGAATTTTTCCCTATATCCAGAAGTGATGATGACACTGAGAATCAAAATAAGAGAATTCCGAAGAAGTCAGTCTTGAGGAAAAGACTCTAGAACATCTTGTACAACTACTTCTTCTTGGTCAAAGAGCCTCCTTCTTGAGCTCTTCTCTGCCCAAACTTAGGAGGGTTAATGCCTGGTTTAATAGCTCCACCATTAATAAAATCACACTTTAGAAAACTGGCATTCACTCAGAATACCTTTGTAAATATTAATTATACATGCAGTTAATTTTATGCAAATTTGAACTCAAATAGTCTCCTATACTCATTTTAACATGTATGTGTTAAATTCTGTGAATTTTAAATCCATGGGGTATTCTTATTTATCCTCTGGAACTTAATGCATAAATTCATAAACATATACATTGCCATACATAAATCTGAACAGAAGCAAGTATGCTATAAATATGGTTTCATTGCATGTGGTACCTCAGAATCAAAGAGGTCAGGTAGGAGTGGGTGATGAACAAGGTTTAGAATAATTTGGCTCCCTTTAGAAAATGTTGGGAAAGAGAATATATTCTGTTCTGTGCTCTGTCCAGATAGTTTGAAATGCATACACATCTGTTGGTTTGTAGCAGTTTTGACCTTATGCTAGATGTAATCTACAATGCTTGAATTTATGGATTCTCTTGCGCTGTCCTAGCCATCCTAATGCCAAGCTACCAAAGTCTGATCTTTGTGTAGCTTTTCCTTTACTAAATTTTTAAATAAAATTTATTCTATATGTGACATATGCTTATGCTTAAAGCAGTCTTCACTGGACCGAGGAATCCTTTCTGCTAACGTCCTATTACCAGTTGAAATACCTCCTTAGCAAGTGATTACCCTGCCATACGCCTAAGTGCATCATTTCACGTAGACTGAGCCTCGCTTGGAAATACTTTCTGGTGCAGAGATCTCTGAGGCATGGCAGTCTCACAGATGTACGTAGTGCATAATGATGTCAAGCCCCAGTCAGGTGAGCAGAAGATATGAATACAATATTCTTATTATTGTAAGGGGCTGAGTGTCCCTAGCTCTTTCTAGTATGAGGGTACAGATGAGCACGCTTTAACATTGCTGTCTGGATTTTGCCAGCTCAATGCCAACCTATTAATGACTGGACCTCCATCTCTCTTCCACTCCCATATCGTTCCCTCTCCTGTTTTTAAACCAGACCCAAGGTGGATTTCCTATGGTCTCATTTGTTGGTCGAGACTGTTGAATATCTTGTTGCTCCTGCTTTCTTCTCAGTCCTCATTATCATGGACAAACAACTCGGCATTCCCCACCACTCCCTCTAGACTCTGTGCTCTCAACACCCTTAGTAATGCTGTTACTTGCCTCTGGGTTATTGCTTGATGCTCTGCTAACGCTTTAGACTGATGACCTTCCTTCTGCCAGTTGGAACACTGACTTCACTCCACTGAGTTCTACTTTTCTAGAGAGGTCCTGAACAGAGTGTTGGAACAGCTGTTTTCATTTGGAAAACAAGCCTTTTCTCCCCAGAATGTATATGTACTTACAGATCGGCTGGGCTTTAGTGATTTCAAGTAATGGCCAATCTACTTCACTGGAAACCATCACTTCCCCTCCTACTACTAGATCTTGTGGCTAATTCTGGTAGAGCCAGACTCTCTCTTCTTTTGAAGTAGCTTTTTTCCATGTGGTCTCTTGGTTTCTCCTTACATCAGCCTTACCTATATTATCTGAACCCCAAATCATGGTCACCATTAGATTCCCCTCCCTGCCCCCGCCTAGATTCCTTAACCCTCATATAAAAACAGTGAAAGCAAACAGACACATAAGGAAGGCCATGGTTAGGGTGTGAGTGTTCAGTCCTACCTGCAGGACTCATTTGAATCACATGAGCCTGGCTGGGGCACCATGTTACAAAGTGGTATAATAGAGTGTAATAGTCAAAGTATGATGGGGCCACAGATGAAGGAAAACTTCATTTTATCTAAGGTGTTGAAGGTCAGAAAAGACTAAAGGGAATATGTGGAATTTGTGAACGTTTGTAGGCAGACATGATGAAGACAGCTCTCTACAGAGAAGGAAGGTTGGGCCTCAGGGACCTCAGGTACACATGTAATAAATGGGCGTGTTTGGGAAGTCAAAATAACTTCAGTTGGATTTCACACCCAGAATGGACAAACCTATTTCTGGAATGGAAGTTGCCTTCTTAAAACTAACTACTGTTTGTTTCTCGAGTAATCAGTCTGGAAACATACAAAGCTGCTTCAAGAGGTACTGTGAAAACTTCTGGGGGTGGGGAGGGCAGGAAGGGGAGGTTGAATTGGGGTCTTTTGGTGCCCCAATTCCTACTTCAACCAGATCAACACAATTTTTTTTGCTTAGGAGTTAGTATTTTATGTAAGGTTTTATTAGAAAAAATGATTCTTCTGCTAAATGTCTGAAAATCATTAATCTAGGAACTTGTTTAGGATCATAGGCTGTACCTATTTCTAGGGCAGTACTATAACTCAGGTGGCCAATTCTCAACCTTTCCAGTCCCTGACTTCCTAGGAATTCTGACACCTCACCACCTAGAGACAAAGTGTGCCCAAGGTCTTATGACTGCTGCTGCTCTGGGATATGATACGATACGATACGGTGCTATCCGATACGATACAATATGATATGATACGATACACTACAATACAACTGAGCTTTGCAGGGGCAGCAGGCCCATCCTGGTGGAGTCCACACAGGTTTGAGGCCCAGCACGTCCAAAAACCAGACAACATTTATAACATTCCATTTTGAATTGTTTTATTTCTCCTGTTTTCCGTTTTGCCAAAATAATACATATTTATTTCAAAAGGTTATCAAATCCACATAAGCAAAAAGGAAGAAAATGGAAATCAACCATAATCCTACACACTAGAGATTTATAATTGATAGCATCTTGATGGGCATTCTTCACTTTAAAAAAAAACCTGTTCTGTAACTTTTTTTTTCTTAACAATATATAGTGGGTATCATTCTTGTTTTTACATCTTCTTCTGCTGCATCATTTTTATTTGAATAATATTCCATTATAATAATGGATTTTGTTTTATTAATGAGCCCCCTGTTGTTGGACAACTAGATGTTTTTTCTAGTTTTTAACTACTGTAAACCCTGCTGTTCGGACTCTTGATCAGAAGTGAAAAGAGCTGTGAAGAAAAGGGCAAGGATGCGGTTAGAATGGGGAAGGCGATGTGTGTTTGAGTTGGGTGGGGACACAAGCTATGGTTTGAGCGCAGGTGGATGATGCAGGTGCTCTGTGTTTAGGGGGACCCTGTGCTGTGTATGAGAGGCAGAAGCCACTCTGTGAGGTGACTAGCCAAGCAGGGCTGGGGACAGAGAGAGTTAACTGCCACTGGATGACAGCCGAATGATATCAGGGTGATGACTGCAGAGTGTCCTCAGAAGACCCTGAGCAT